TAAAAGTTATGCGCCTTGTAGGCTGTCATTATTGCTTCGAGTTGCCACCGCTTGGACAGCTACCTGCTCTTAAGGAGCTCTTCATATGTGAGATGAAATTTCTTAGGACGTTAGGTCCTGAGTTGTATGGTCAGTCATTTCAGTCATTTCAATCACTGGAGAAGCTGGAGTTTGAGGAGATGCCAGAGTGGGAGGAATGGGTATCAAGTGTAAGTGGAGGTCCAGACTTTCCTCGTCTCCAGGAGCTGATTCTAGAAAAGTGTCCAAAGCTAAGAGGAAGCTTGCCTTGTGATCTGCCTTGCTTGAAGAAGCTTAGCGTGAAAGGGTGTGGGGTTTTACATGATCAAAGGGCCACTGCTACTACTAGTACTAGTACTAGTCTCAACTACAATTCTCTTGAAAAATTGGAAATAGAAGATGGATGCCAAACAGGTCTGTTATCATTACTAGAGACAAAGCTCCTGTCCAAACTTCACATTGGACGTTTTAATGACATACAGTGCTTGCCCAACATCAATCGTCTTCGAAGTTTGAGTCTCTCGAATTGTCCAACCCTATCGTCGTTCCCTGAAGATGGCCTACCCACTTCGTTGACTTCACTTAAAATACTCATTTGTAGGAGATTAGAATTCCTACCTCAGACGTTGGTTCAATTAACATCGCTCCGCTATTTGAGTTTAGAGAATAGCTGTGATTCAATGAGGTCCTTCCCCTTGGGCATTTTTCCCAAATTGAGGGAACTTTATATTGTGAATTGTGAGAACTTGGAATCACTATCCTTCATTGAAGAAGAAGGAGTTGATGAGAATCTCAGTCATCTCAATGGATTGACTATCTCTGGCTGTCCAAATCTGGAGTGTTTTCCCCAGGGAGGATTGCCCACTCCCAACCTGACTTATTTGGAATTCAGCAGATGCGAGAAGTTGAAGTCATTACCTGATCGCATTCACACCCTCATAGCCCTAAGATATTTGTATATATGGGATCTTCCAAATCTGGAGTCAATTGCAGAGGATGGGGGTTTGCCTTCCAACCTCCGATATTTTACAATTGAGAATTGTGAGAGACTGAGGGCTCCATCTTCATCAGTGGGAGACTACTGTAACTGGGGTTTGCAAGCACTTGTCTCCCTTGAAGAATTTACAATTGGTGGCAGGGGAAGTGATGAAATCTTGGAGACGTTGCTCAAGCAACAGCTGCTCCCTACCACTCTTCACGCTCTCAGCATATATTCATTATCAACTCTGAAATCTTTGGATGGAAAGGGACTTGCACACCTTACTTTTCTTCGAAGTCTATCTATTGCTAGGTGTGACAGTCTGGAATTCCTGCCAGGAGAGGCACTTCAACACCTCACTTCTCTTCAAGAGCTATATATTTATGACTGTCCGAGTCTCCAATTCCTGCCAGAAGAGGGTCTACCGCCATCTCTTTCTTATCTGAGAATCCTACAATGGTTCTGGCCTGGAGAAAAAGGTATCAGCAAAGACGGGAGAAGAGGAATCATGGGACAGCATATCTCACATTCCTTGCATCCGGATAAATGATGAAGTCATCATATGATGATACACCTCTCTCTCTCACATAGAGACAAATTTAACTAACTTTGGTCCGTATGTACTTCAAATACGCGCTTTAACTGCTTTTTTATAATTCAATACAAAAAACTGAAATTCACTATCCAATAAACCGAAATACACATTTTTAACAAGTTTTATGTCGAGGACAAAGTTAGCCAGCAAAGTCTCTGCATCCACCCAGTAACCTTTGCTAGTATGCTCGCATATGCGTTCTCCTACAGATCAGTTGTTGGGCCCGCGCTACTATGCTGTTCCAGCACCATTTTTTTCTATTTTAATCAATTCCATTTGTGCAGCACCACTCTGTTAAAGTTTTTCATGTAACTTTGTGTGTTAGGATGTTTAATCTTGTGTTTGATGCGGTTGTTTGGGGGTTTTTTTTGTGTTTAACTTTGGGCCCCTTGTTGTGTATTTTTATTTTTATGTTTGTGCAACTGAAGATTAAGTATCTGAAAAGATTGATCATTGGTAAATTATTCAGTAGTATAAAAAACATGACTATGCCATCCTTACTGTCATACAATTTTTGAAAAAGGTTCATTTCATCCCAATTTTTCTTCAAAAATATACTCGTCGCATGGTTCAAGGATGGCAAATTTCCTTGTCCCCATATCCCCTGGTCCATCTGGCTGCTTCATTATCTAGTACTAGTAGCTTGTTCTATATGATTGTGTAGAGATGCAATAATATCTTATCTGCAAATGAATATTTTTTTTCCATCCCACAAATCCCTCCTTCAGCTACAAAGTTCTATTTGATGAGACTTGAAAGTTGGATGTGTACTTGCAGACTTGAGAAGAAACTTTCCCAGTTTGGAGGTCAAAGCAACTTGTGTCAGGCAACCATGCCGAGGTGAGAGTTTACCAGTGTATATGGATGTTTGTATTTCTACAAACAAAATTGCGGCAAAGAAGGGGAAGGAAATGTTAAAGGGGGGAGCTCTAGCAAGAGACCAGCATTTGGGACAATGCGGGTAAACAGATCTCAATCTTAAAATAAACAAGCACACTGCCATTGATTAGGTAATCTTTCCACATAAAAGTCCTTCCCAACGTATATCTTATGAAAACGTCATTGTTATGAGTTTCCTCCCCTTCTGATGTTAACTCAATCTCCCCACTCCAAGCCTTCTGAAGAATTACATACCACTTAAAATTTGATGTTATATTCTGGGTCAATAAACACAAAAAATTCGTCTGCAATCTCCCGATTTAGTTTCGCTTCCCCGTGTTTGTTGTAATAGATAACATCAAGCATTTCATTGATTTACCCTCATTTGCATGAGGTGGGGGGATATGAACAGGAATATTGCAAGGACCAGAAGGCCGGGTGTCGTCCAGATTGTCATATGATCTCTAAGGACAGTCGTGACTTTCGCTAGGCCGTGTGTCCAATGCGATTAATATAAATCTAATACATAAGTGCCTATGCGCCATTGGGGGATAAGCAATTGAGTATATGATATGCAATTCTTTCAGTTTGTTCGTCCCCTTTATAGTTGGTTAGATGTATCAGTTAGTCGTCTTTCAGTCTTTATTTTATTTTGATAAAGTGTTGGTTGGAAATTAGTTTTCAGAGAAAACTACATGGAAGTTTGGGCGGTAAACTAGCAGAAATTAGTTTGTTCACTATTATAAGAGGCATCTATAATGATCCAATTGTTAATGTCTTGACCTTAGGAGATCTGTGGTATGCTGAGATATGCATGAAAGAGTGAGAAGCAATCGTAATCGAGTTGATATCTCTCACTGGTTCTGTTCACACCAAAAAAAAAAAAAAAAAAAAAAAAAAAAAAAAAAAAAAAAAAAAAAAAAAAAAAAAAAAAAAAAAAAAAAAAAAAAAAAAAAAAAAAAAAAAAAAAAAAAAAAAAAAAAAAAAAAAAAAAAAAAAAAAAAAAAAAAAAAAAAAAAAAAAAAAAAAAAAAAAAAAAAAAAAAAAAAAAAAAAAAAAAAAAAAAAAAAAAAAAAAAAAAAAAAAAAAAAAAAAAAAAAAAAAAAAAAAAAAAAAAAAAAAAAAAAAAAAAAAAAAAAAAAAAAAAAAAAAAAAAAAAAAAAAAAAAAAAAAAAAAAAAAAAAAAAAAAAAAAAAAAAAAAAAAAAAAAAAAAAAAAAAAAAAAAAAAAAAAAAAAAAAAAAAAAAAAAAAAAAAAAAAAAAATGGTCGTGGAATCCACCGACATCTTTTCCATAACCAAACCACGACGGTGAATAACCGTCGTTGTTAAAACAAAAAACGTCATCAAAAAATAAAAACCGACGTCTTTGTGCTGCAAAAAGACATAAAAAAACAGTCGAGGATGAGAATAGACGACCAACTCCAACAAAAAAAACGTCGTTAAAAAGGAAACAGATGACATATATTAACAGAACATGGCCGCAAGATAAACATACAACGACGAGAACTAAACTTAACGCCGTTAAATAAATATTTAACGACAAATATAAATACGACGTCTTACAATCATAATAGACGACGTTATTGACACCTACTACGTCACAACATTTCCCACAACCGTCGTAAAATAAATTTTCCACTTCGATTTTTCTATGAATTATGACGTGGAAATAGATGTCAGGGTCATTACTTACGACGCATGTATTTACAGAGACGACGTTGAAATGATAAATAACGTCGGTTCCAAATAAATGAGAGCCGTATTACAGAATTTATACGTCATATTTTGAAAATAAACGACGTGGAAAAAATGATGGGGTCATTAATTACGACACAGTAATTTATAAGGACGACGTTGTCGTCTATATACAACGTCGTTACCATGAAAAAGACCGTCGTGTTTAATAATTTATACGTCTTCATTAAAAAATTAACGTCGTCTAATTCATAAATCTTAACGTCGACAAATTTAATGGACTTCAAATACCGTCGTGAATTCATCCTTTTCCACTTCGTTTATGAAAGAACATGCGACGTGGTAAATTCATGACGACGTCGTCTTTTGTAACGTTCAGGTTAAAGTTCTCGTCTTTTAGACGTCGGTATTATGGGATTGGAGTCGTGTTATTTTGAATTACATGGCGGTTCTTTATGCTTGTCCGACGTGTTATCCTGGATAACTGTTTCACAATAGCGTCGTGGTTCTTCATTGTTACGTTTGCTTTAAGACGTCGGTAAATATATTGCGGTCGTTGAATGCTCCAAAACGTCGTTATTTATTAGAACAGACGTTTGTTTTTCACATTTTTATCAAAACCGTCGTGTTTGTAATCTGGAACCAGTAATTTTTGTACTGATTGTTTTGTGGCCAAAACCTGTATAATGAAAGTGAAGAAATCACATTACAATATATTACAAAATTAATGTCATACACTGCCAATTACATAAAGCATCATTCAACCCATATATCTTCACACCCATCTCGAATATTTTGACTCCCTAACTCAACCACCACTTCATCAAATGTGTCAACATTTGGCATCCCCTCTAGTAAATGGCTCACACTCAATTCTCACATCACCTAAGACATCATCACCAATAACATCATTATATTCTCTATTAGGCATTGATAACACTACCGACCAACCACGATGCATCGGGTCGTCAACAAAAAATACTTGTTTGACTTGAGAAGCCAAAACAAATTGGTCATTCCTATGTCCAATTTTACTCAAATCTACAAGGGTAAATCCAAGTTCGTCCACTACAAGACCAGAAGTATTATCAATCCAATCACACCTAAAGACTGGGATTGTAAACTTTTGGTAGTCAAGGTCCCAAATTTCTTGAATGACACCATAGAAACCCATATTTGAGAGAATTGGGTTTTTATCCTTGGCACTAGCAACTTGCATAGTATGTGCAAGTAAATAAACTCCACTATTTTGAGTTGTCCGCACATCATCTTGTGCCTTGATGTTGAATTTAATACCTTTAATGAGATAGCTCCTATATAATGGCACTGCCATGTTTGGACCAGCTGCTAGCCACCTTAAATTTTCTGATACGCCATGATTGTCTTCCTCATTAAGTTCACTTTGAACCTGCAAATTAATCATAACTTAATTCAATCTAACATAGAAAGAAGAAAATTAAAAGTCCAATATGTTATTCAATAACATATACCTTGAAGCGTAGCCATTGAATGAAAGTGCTATTGTGCTTATCCTGCAGCCACTTTGTTCTCTTTCTAAATTTTGGATAAGCGGTCTGGATGTGGATCATATGTTGCCTACATGACACACAAAATTCAAGTATTACGGTCCCAAACATATAAGATAAACATAAGAAATAATTTAAAATGGAAACTTAAAGAATAAAACTATAGTACTCGATATAAGGAGGACTTCCTCCGTATTCTCCAAGACATATAGATGTGCTGGGGTTCAACAGGTCCCGATCAAATACGCTCACTGTGCAACCTGATAATGGCTTTGAAACTCCCATCTTTTGGCTTGAAGGCACTCCAACTGTACTAACATCAATAAATGCTCGGTACAAAACTCTACAGCTTCTTCAGCTATATACCGCTCAGCAATGCAACCTTCGGGACGAGTACGATTCTGAACATACCCCTTTAGCACTTTCATAGATCTTTCAAACGGATACACCATCTAAAATATACTGGCCCACACAGACGAACTTCTCTGACAAGATGTACTACTAGATGACATGATACAAAGAAGGAAGGGGGAAAGTACTTCTCAAGCAAACACAAAGTAACTACTACATCTTCTTCCAACTTATCTAGCTTGGAAACATCAACAGTCTTTGCACATATAGCATTGAAGAAGAAGCACAAACGAGTTATTGCATACCCTGCAGGCTTCTCAAACAGAAAACGGAACTTGCCAAAGGGAGAAATTGTTGAATAAGGTATGACATTAGGGCTTGAAGGCCAAGAAGTCTTGAATTGTAAAGATTACAAATTTTTTATATTTGAAGAATAACCTTCAGGGACCTTCATACCATAGAAAGAATTGCAAACCTCTCTCTTCTCTGCTCTTGACAAATTCCAAGGCCCGGGAGGCAAACGAGACGTCTTTCTCCATACTCGGGTTGCAAATCAGTTTTGACCCCCATGTTCAATAAATCTAATCGAGCAGCAATCCCATCTTTATTTTTTCCAGGGATCTCCAGCAATGTACCAATGATACTATCGCAAACATTCTTCTCAATGTGCATAACATCTAGGACATGCCTCACAGGAAGGTATTTCCAATACTCGAGATCAAAGAATATTGATTTCTTCTTCCAACAAACTCTGTCACCATCTTCAACCATATGCAGCACTTCTTCTCCGGTTAATGGCTCAGGAGGCGTGCCATATTCAGGTTTCCCATTAAAAGCTGCACGTTGCCTCCTATATGGATGATTGATCGGTAACCATTTTCTATGCCCAATGTAACAAATTTTGTGGCCATTTTTCAACCTGTGACTAGGTGTATCATCGCCGCATATTGGACAAGCTTTATATCCTTTAACAACACAACCAGATAAGTTTCCATAGGCGGGGAAATCATTAATTGTCCACATTAATGCAGCTCTGAGTGTAAAGTATTCTCCATTATGTGCATCATACACTCCTCCAATCCCATCCCACAAAGATTTTAAATCATCAATCAAAGGCTCCAAGTAGACGTCTATATCATTTCCGGGCTGTTTAGGACCGGAAATCAATAAGGTCAACATCATGAACTTTCGTTTCATGCACAGCCATGGAGGGAGATTATATGTAACTAAGATAACTGGCCAGCAACTATATCTGCTACTTAGAGAACTGTGGGGATTGAATCCATCAGATGAAAGAGCCAATCTCAAGTTTCTCGGCTCATTACCAAACTCGGGCCATTTATCATCAAGAAGTTTCCAAGACGGGGAATCCGCTGGATGAGACATATAACCGTCAATTGATTTTCTAGCAGCATGCCAAGTCAAACTCTTAGCGGTCTCATGTGATCGAAACATCCTTTTAAACCTTGGAATTGGAGGAAAATACCACACCACCTTCGCTGGCACACCCTCTTTCAAGATTGAATCTTTGCCTTCCTTCCACCTTGAGATACCACAATTAGGACAATGAGTTAAATCCTCATACTCCTTCCTATACAAGATGCAATCATTGGGGCATGCGTGCATTTTCTCATAACTCAGCCCCAATGCACACAAAGTCTTTTTTGCCTCATACATAGAGGCCGGTATTGTATTTCCTTCTGGAAGCAAATCGCCTTGAAGTATCAATAATTCTGTAAAACAGACATCACTCATCCCATATTTTGCCTTCAAATTATACAACTTCACTAATGCCGATAACTTCGTGTACTTTCTACAACCAGGGTACAATGGTTGATCTCCATCCCCAATCACATTGGCAAACTCATAAGGATCAGATCCAAAATCACCAAAATCATTATCATCCATCTCTATTTCTTCAGACACAAAACTGTACCTACTATGGTCATCATCTTCTTCAACATTTCTACTAGCATTAGTAGTTGCTTCCCAAGGTTCTCCGTGAAATGTCCAATTCTTATAGCTTTGGTCAACTCCATTAAAGTATAAGTGATCCCTTATAATTCCAACCCCAAACAATTTCAAATTAACACATTTAACACATGGACAACGGATATGTGTGGTAGTTAGAAGATTTTCTACAGAAAAGTTCAAAAATGCTTCCACCCCTAACTCATATGCCTTCGATCTTCTATCCGAGTGCATCCATGACTTATCCATCTCCGACACTATACCCTATTATATATAATAAAGTGAAAAGACAAGCAATGACCATCACTATAGCAGATTATATAAAGTCTAATAGCAAGTAATATACAACAGAGACGACGGTTTTTAAACAAAAACAGACGTATTTGACATATATAGACGACGGATTTTACGTCGTCTAATTGTAACCACGACGGTAGTTAAATAACACCGTCGTGTATAAGTAATAAAAACGACGGTTTAAAGTAAAAACCGTCGTCGTATGCCTGAAAACGCGTCGATATCCAGTTTATTTTCAAGATCCCAAAACCCTATTAAGAACACAACATAGACATGAAACCAAGCAAGAAACCAACATACTGAAACCAACATATACTAAGCATGAAAACAATAAATCCATTCCCAATTCAACATAACAGAGAGTGATTAAAAGATCCGACAAAATGAAATCCATTCCATATTCAACATAACAGAGAGTGATCAAGAAAACATTAAACAGAAAATCCATGAACCCATACCTCCAACAACATTATTAACAGATCGCAAAACATATACCTAAAACCCTTTAACAAAACACCGTAATATATCATTCAATGAATTTACAAGGGGAAGAGAGGGTTTGTACTTACAGGTTGGCAGAGCTCACAGATTATGACCAAATGGGATTTGACACAGCCTGGCCCAACTTTGAATTAGAGATGAAGTGAGAGAGCGAAATGTTATGTTGCGCGAAATCAGAAAATTTTAGGGTTCAGGGTTAGAAGTATAAAAATAAGAGCCAAATCTGAAAATTTTAGGTCCCGCGAATATTTTAAGAAAGCGCGCTTTTTAAAACATCGACCGAAAATACAAGCGTCGTTAAAATTGAACATTAAAGATGACGCTTATTACATTAAGGAGGTCGTGGTAAAACTATGTACCACGCAAAATCAAAAAAGGCGTTAAAACTATGAAAAACCACGGCGGGGGTTAAGTAACTAACGACGTTGTAAACAATAATAAACGACTAACAGGTAAACAAAACGTCGTTTAAAAAAGAAACCACGTCGGATTTTTCACCATACGACGTAAACTCAATATTCCACGACTCAATCACCGTCGTTAAAAGTAATACCCTAAACTTTAAAACCATAAATTATATATGTGTAAAATTTAATTTTATAAATTGTTTATGGTTTTACATCCTAATAAATAACAAGCATAAACCCTAAACCCCAAAAATTATACTTTATCCATAAACCCTAATAAATAACAACCCTAAACCCCAAACCCTAAACCCTAAACCCTAAACCATCAAACTATATAAGTGATGCTATGACTCATAAAAACAATTTTATTTTGGTTGGTCATTTTAAACTTTCATTACACAAACTGCATTTTTTTGGGGTTTAGGGGGAAGAAAATATATCAATGACTTCATAGGAGTTGAAGTTGAATTTTTTGAATTTATTTTAAATTTATTTTAAAATTTTGAATTAAAAATAATAAATATTCTTATATCAACAACAAACCACGGCGGGGTTAAGTAACTAACGACGTTGTAAACAATAATAAACGACTAACAGGTAAACAAAACGTCGTTTAAAAAAGAAACCACGTCGGATTTTTCACCATACGACGTAAACTCAATATTCCACGACTCAATCACCGTCGTTAAAAGTAATACCCTAAACTTTAAAACCATAAATTATATATGTGTAAAATTTAATTTTATAAAATTGTTTATGGTTTTACATCCTAATAAATAACAAGCATAAACCCTAAACCCCAAAAATTATACTTTATCCATAAACCCTAATAAATAACAACCCTAAACCCCAAACCCTAAACCCTAAACCCTAAACCATCAAACTATATAAGTGATGCTATGACTCATAAAAAACAATTTTATTTTGGTTGGTCATTTTAAACTTTCATTACACAAACTGCATTTTTTTGGGGTTTAGGGGGAAGAAATATATCAATGACTTCATAGGAGTTGAAGTTGAATTTTTGAATTTATTTTAAATTTATTTTTAAAATTTTGAATTAAAAATAATAAAATATTCTTATATCAACAACAAACCACGGCGGGGTTAAGTAACTAACGACGTTGTAAACAATAATAAACGACTAACAGGTAACAAAACGTCGTTTAAAAAAGAAACCACGTCGGATTTTTCACCATACGACGTAAACTCAATATTCCACGACTCAATCACCGTCGTTAAAAGTAATACCCTAAACTTTAAAACCATAAATTATATATGTGTAAAATTTAATTTTATAAAATTGTTTATGGTTTTACATCCTAATAAATAACAAGCATAAACCCTAAACCCCAAAAATTATACTTTATCCATAAACCCTAATAAATAACAACCCTAAACCCCAAACCCTAAACCCTAAACCCTAAACCATCAAACTATATAAGTGATGCTATGACTCATAAAAACAATTTTATTTTGGTTGGTCATTTTAAACTTTCATTACACAAACTGCATTTTTTTGGGGTTTAGGGGGAAGAAAATATATCAATGACTTCATAGGAGTTGAAGTTGAATTTTTTGAATTTATTTTAAATTTATTTTTAAAATTTTGAATTAAAAATAATAAAATATTCTTATATCAACAACAAACCACGGCGGGGTTAAGTAACTAACGACGTTGTAAACAATAATAAACGACTAACAGGTAAACAAAACGTCGTTTAAAAAAGAAACCACGTCGGATTTTTCACCATACGACGTAAACTCAATATTCCACGACTCAATCACCGTCGTTAAAAGTAATACCCTAAACTTTAAAACCATAAATTATATATTGTAAAATTTAATTTTATAAAATTGTTTATGGTTTTACATCCTAATAAATAACAAGCATAAACCCTAAACCCCAAAAATTATACTTTATC